TTAAAACAAGAAACCAGCTAACAGACACATTGAAACTAATTTAAAACTAGCAGTGACTAATATTTAACCAAATATTTCCAATATATTACATTTACATCAGTTCCAGAAGCTAAATTAAGTACACCCATGCTAATTTATAATTATATATGAATAAATAATTGTGATTTACCAACATTTTTTCTCTTTTCTCTTGTATGTGGCCTCCATCAGTTCAAAAGTCTTGAAATGTGGCCTTTATATAGAAAAAGGTTGCACATCCCTGTGCTAAAGTATGGATTGACCATATAGAAAATGAACAGAAGAGAATCACAGGCAAGATATACATATGAATGTATGTATGTTCAATGATTTCCAGAAAAATCATAATGGCAGATGAATATCTCTGTAGAAATAAAGGATTCTTCATGGTTTCTAAAGATTCTCTTAGTGACTTTAGCCAAGAAAGAAAGAAGCTATTTGACACATGTTTAAATGCAATTTAATATTTGCATATAATACACACCCACTTCAAATTCTTTTCAACCCTCATAACCTGCAGATTATGCACATGAATATGGGAATAAAACGTATTTTAGATTAAAGACATAAATTGTCATGTTATTATATTTATATTATACATATATCATATATTTCTCAAATATTTAATAAATATGTATATATTTAATAAATATTTACACTAAATTTAAATATTTCTAATTCAAAATAATTACTTGTGCCATCAGTGCAGCTAATTCAAGTGCTAATTCCCTAGTAAGTGGAAATTTTCCTTGCATCACTTCATCATTAATTTGATATGCTGTTAATAATCTTTCTTTATCAGTTTCAGCTTTCAATAACTGACGGAAACACAATCTAGATTAAAAAATATTAATAATTTAACAAATTATCTTAAATAGAAATGATTTTATGAAAAATTTGTATTTTAATTATAAAATTTATAACTAGAATTTAAAAAATGATATAATTATAATTTTAATAATATGTGAATAAATAGAACACCAAACACTAAGTCCAAATTATACTAGTAATCAAATAATTTAATTAATCAAGTTCAAGCCTGATAGTTAAATCATCTCTATCATTGATTATTAGAAAATATAATACATTATTATATATTTATAATGATAACATAATATTAAAAAATACCATAATTAATTTTCTTTTAAATTGTAATTAGTAAACAATAAGCTAATCAGAGTTATTTAAAACATTACAAAAATTATAAATTTAGCAAAGTAATAGACTAATGACAAAGAAGAAATTTTGTTTTTATTTTTTTCATAAAGTGAAAGTTATGTATAAATTCCTCTTCAAGAGAATTGTTATACAGTAGACTTGCTTTTAAACTAGTACATCTAGGAAACCTGTCAAAAAATATGTTATATTGATTGATTGTTATATCAAATTTTTAAAAAAAATTTCCACTTTTGATAAGACTAATGTCATACAATTTGGTGTTTATATAAAAAAAAAATAATGCNCTGAATTCTTTATTGAAGAAAATTAGCAGAATTTGGATTTCATTATAAAAATCCAAGTTTATTCATTATGTACAGTACATTAACTACAAATAATATACATGTATCTATTGTACACCACAGTATTCCTACAACATGATTTTGCTCTAACATAGTTTAAGAATTGGGGAAATCCTCCCATATAAGTTTTGCTGTAACACAGTTTGATAAATGGAGAAATTCCCATACAAAATTTCACAAATTTTTAATTATAACACTGTCATTTGATATTTTTTTTATTCAAGCAATCATGTATGTTGTCTCATATTTTCCCATTGATTTTAAAATATTGAAATGTTCGATGTTTTGTGTCTTTTGCCGTTTTCTTTCATGAAAATTGATTGTACAATTTTTTTTCTTCCTTATCCTAGCTTCCTGTTGTTGATGGTAGTACTCTAAATGAACTCAAAAGACTGTCACTGTTTTGTTTTTATAGATTAAGTTACTATATAAAAAGATTACATTTTTAAAGATCTCTTGGGAAAATGCAAACAAGTGAAAATATAAAATATACTTTATAAAAAAAAAAATTAGAGAAAAATGAAGATTTTGCTGATAATCCAGATTAAGGTCAATAGAAAAGCTCAGAATATAACAATATTTTGCCAAAAAGAAAAATCTCATTTAATGGTGTTTAGCAGTGAAGGAAAGCTTAATATTAACATGCAATATTTTTTTTGTAATTGTTAATTAATTATTGATTACTTTAATAAATATTTCTCTTAGTTATGGAAAAGAATAGTATATTTTTTCTAACTTTTGGAACCAAACCCTATGTTTTGTACTACTCCTTTGTTTCATATAACAAGAATTCACATAACATGGCACTTTTTCAAAATCTGACTATTGTTTTACACAAGGATATCTGTACTTTATATAAGATTATAAAAAGCAGAGTTGCCTAATATACAGATAACTATTAAGCCAATGCTCTAGAACATTATAAATTTGAGATTACTGTATTCATAATTTAAAAAATACTATAATTTCAAGTCTATAATCAAGTATAATTTCATTGACAAAAAGAAAGTGTCATATTATTTGGATAAGTTGACATCCTCATTTATTTGCTTTCTTTGCATAACAGCAAAGAAATTATACAATTTGTAAAAACATTTAATAAGTAGAAATAAGTATTTTGAAATTTAGAAAAAAAATTAAATAATTTATTGTGTAATGTCTTCAAAATAGATTGTTTAATTAAAAGTTTAAAAGTAAAAATTATAAAATGGTCAGTTATGGATTTATGACCAACCAACTTATGACAGTGAAAATTGTTATATTAAAAATATTTTTGAGCCCAAATAATCTGTTATTAAATTGTTTTACTATGCCATTAATAAATATATCAAATGTAATATTGTAATATTACCTTTGATATTGAATTATACACTATTATTGCTATATAGTGTTTATAAGTAGACACTATATAATAACAACTTGTAAGTTTATTTGTGTATAACTATAACTTGGATTTGCATCATTAGTACTTAAAAATCAAAAATGAAACTAATTTTCTGCAGAGCTACTCATTACAGGACTATCATTCTACCTCCAATTTTATAAGATTAAAGCGAATTAATAACATGGACTGATTATTTTGAAAGTGCTGTAAGTGTATTTTTGGGAAAAAATTGAGAAGTCACATAATTTACATATAATTTAGTGTGACCTTTTTATTTATAAACCATTCACACTTAGCATTTTAAAATAACCATACACTTTGATCAATTTAAAATTCATCAATAAATAACATTGCATAACCATTGATTATGAAAGTAGTGTAAGTCCATTTTCTGCAGTATAATTAAGCACTTAAGGGCTGTCCATAAATTATATTTGCAGTTATCTTGAAATTTTTACTCCCCCTCCCCCTTTTGTCCCAGTTTTCCCAAGTTTCCATAACCCCCTCCCCTCTTTGGATGCCCAACAAAACTCGACCACCATTAAAATGTTTATCACTTTATAAATGACAGATACCATGATAGAAGTAGAAACAAAATATACAAGAAATTTTGAAATAAATATAATAAAATGCATAAACTGTATAATGAAATAATTGAATGTTCACTGATGCTCAACTCCCCTCACCCTTGTTCAACTTGTAACTCTCTCTCTCCCATCCAGTGTGGACATCATTTATGAACAGACTTTTATAAGAGAGTAAAACTATGAATTTTATCAACAAAAGATTTGATAAAATGAAAAAAATCCACATAATGAGCCTAAATAAAAGGCAGTGTCTAATGATAAGCTCATAATAATGATAAACTTGTAAAATAGTTTAACAATAAGTAAATATTTTTAATGTTGAGAATAAACGACATTCTTTTATTTCTTGTTATTACTTATAAACAAAATCAGAATAAAACACAATGCACTTCAAGTGAAATTAAATTTTAGATAATTGAAATTTAATGACTTCTACAGTTCAATAATTATGAAAGTGGTCTAAGTTCATTTACAACCCAGAAAGAATATATTGGTTTAGTTAAATTCCAATAGAAGTTATTTGGGTACTCAACTTACATATTTCTAAATTCATAGAAACATTGCCAAAGTTAATACACTTATATTTTTGAATTGACTAAAATGCAAACCTTTAAATATCTTCAAAGAAAAAAAAATGGTCTTACACCTCTTTGAAACTAAATGGTCCATATATTAAATTAAAAAAAGTTAACAATAAAAATTAAATTTATTCCATATACAGATTATAATACTTCAATATGACTGTTGATTTCTTTGAATTTTCTTCCTAATTTTTTTTATACTTTTGTGAATCTTTATATTAATAAAATATAATTAAATCATATGTGTATAAAAACTTTCTGGATATGTTCATTGGAACAAACTCCCTCTACACCAATACAGGAGACAAGTCTTCTTGGTTGAGGTGTCAGGTCAGAGCTGGCCTTACTATAGGGCGAACGGAGCAGCTGCTCCAGGCGCTAAGTCCTAGGGGGCGCCTCAGTGGTAAAGAAAATTAAAGGGTATAAATTAAGGGCAACCAAGGGGGCGCCATAATAGGATCTCGCTCCATCCTAAAACTTTCCTCAGGCCGGCACTGTGTCAGGTCAGATGTTATTAATCATCATTGATTAACTAAGCTAAAATATTTTTAGCTAAGATTAAAATTATTTTAAACAGAGGTTGACTTGGAGATATTTATTAGATGGTTGACAGACTGGTAAATAATTCTACATTCCATTCACAAGTGGAAATGAATGGGTCCATCAGCATCTTTGTTTTTTGCATCTGCTTGGCAAGTAAAAAAGACATCCTGACACGTTTTATCATATCAATAAGACTTCATAACATAATAAAATAGTAAAATGATTTTAAACATTTGACAATGCAGAAAAATTTTCTTAGATTATATGCAATCTTATAATCTGACTATCAGTCAGAAGATTGTTTTAAAGACATTCTGCAAATTATAGGCAGGAAATTACATTAATTTTAACCAAATTAATTCATTACCTTGGAAGAACTTTGAAGGCAATGTTCCATGCCTTTTTCGATGGGATCATCACTGTAAAGAAAGAATCCAGAATGGCTAGTATCTCTAATCCCTGCTTCTGCATTCAAACTTTGAATAAATTCTTCAACAGTGGTAGAACCATCAAATCCTACAACCTTATAAAAGAAAAATAAAAAGTAACTGATCTATTTAAAACTTAATAATTTCACATAAACTATTAATAATGTTTGATAACTTTTATTTTTATGTAGCTTTTCTCTTTGAAAATTCTCTGTTCTGTATTGGAAGATGTGTTTTAATAACTACAAATAATTTTAATAATAATATTGATTATCTAAGTTAATACTACATTTGGGTATAGGTCATGGATAATGAGTTAGTTGAACAAAACTGGCTCAAGATGTTGTCAAGTCTGACTTGTGGCATTACCAAACTTATCATTTCACACGAGTGAACCTTTTGTTTGCTTGCCTAGTAATTAAATCAAACATATATTTAAACAGAAACAAATATTTTTCTAATCTTATATAAACATCTCGAAGCCTGATGTTTAAACATAAACCAAACAATTGCCATATTAAATCAGGCTATTTTGCCACTACTATTAATAATCAAATTCTAAGTAATTTGGTACTAGAGGAAGATGTTAGGCACCATCTCATATTTTAATTATTAAATTTAATATAAGATAGTGTCTAATGCCTATCTCCACTACCAAATTACTTAGAATCTAATTATTAATAGTAATGGTAAAATAGCCTTATTTAATACAGAAATCATTTGGTTTATAAAATATAAACTATTTGTGAAAATATACCATGATAAAAAAATAAATAAATAAATAAAAGCTATTCATAAAGTCATCCATCATAAGTAACATTAATATCTTGAAGATTGATATTTATGCTGTTTAACAGATGAAATAATTATAAATGAACACTGAGTCTGATTTATACCCAAATCTTAACTCTGATGTCAATCTAGAAGCAAAGATTAGACAGAAGTCTAGCTAGTTTAATTGGCAACACATCACACATCAGCATTATAAGAAGAAGTTGTGAGCTTGAATCCTATTCTGGGTTGATCTTTTCATCCAGAACATTCTGAATTCATTAAATTAAATAATCTTAATTTCTAATTATTAATAATAGCATAAGATTGCAACCTGTCTCCCTTTAGGACAAATTACGTAATAATTATAGTCCAAGAATCCAGCAGTTAAAATTATTAATTTCTGAAACATTTGCACAAATAACTTGTATTCCAGCAAACCAATTTTAGTCTGTTAATGTTTTCAGGTCACCATCAGGCTAAACAGCATTGTTGACATTTTAATGAATAGAATAAAAAATTATATTCAATTCAAAAGTTTGGAATGTTTTATTTGGTTAGCCATTTAAATTCATTCTAACATTTTTAAAATGATAAAAATTACATAATAGTTTCTGTGTTCATGCATAGTACAATGTAAATAAAATAAAATTAATACAAAATAAATATCACATTTTCCATGCCTTAGATTGCAACTTTAAATTTTTTCATAGTGTTGTTTAATATAATGCATAGTTCATTGGTATGCATTTAGTATTTTTTAAAAATATTTTTCATGTGCCTAGCACTTTTTACTCAGTCATGTAATTTAAATTAAAAATTATATTATTTTTTAATTTTATCAAAAATTAATTTATTGTAAATAATATTGTATATTTTTTATATAGAATATTCTGATAAAAATTCTATTATAAATAAAAATATTGCTAAAAATATATTGATTTTAATATAAAATACTTACCTGATATGTTCCATTTAAAAAATGAACTGGTATACTATGAGGAAGTGAATGATGATAAGGATTTTTGAGCAGTATACTAAGGACTTCCATTCTTGATGGCTTACATTCCCTGCTACTATTTGTAAGTGCCCTTTCAAGAGCTCTCTGACAAAATATTGCATATTTTCCAGGTTCTGTTCTGATAAATTTTAAATATGTTTGTATTATTTTTAATAAAATAATGAAATTATATCATTAAAATAAAATTTAATTATATAATCAAAATTTAAAATACATAATTAAATTAAATCAACATGAATTAAAAACTATTCATTTTAAAAATACATATGTGCACTATGATAAAATATTTTATAATTCAAAGAAAAATTTTTTCTTATAAACAAAAGAATCTGTTTATCAACATTTTTCAGATTTAAATATATTACATACATTTAATTAATTCATCTTAAGAAAACAATTTAATAGTAATTATCAATATAAAATTTTTAATGAGATTTAAATGTGATAATTAAACTTTATAACAATGTATTAGCTTAATAATAAAATATAAAAACTACATTAAAAAGCAATATGTATTTATTTATAAAATCATGTTTAAAAATATAATTTCTTACTTGGAATCAACATTCCTTTGCAGATGTGTGCGCAGATACCATAAAGTACGATTTTTTGGAATAAAAAGTGAAATTGCTAAGGCTAGTAATTGCCATGCCTGTACAAACATAAAAGTTGGAGGATTTAACTTATTTTCTGTCAAGGACGGCCTATCAGATGGAACAGTAGAGGTAGGAGAAGTTTTCTCTGCAGCTGATGTGTCACAGAGAAAGAGTGATTGTGTTGCACAAAGTAGTAATTGCTAAAATGACAAAATAAATAATAATAATTAAAATTTATATAATGTTTACTATTTAAGAATTGAAAAATTTGCAAAAAAAAAATTATTTGAATATCTTTTTAAATTTTCTGATGCTTTTTCTGCTGATGGTTTGGAGTTTGAAAAATAAATTCCAAAGTATCAGCAGAAAATCTTCCAAACCCCAAAGCATTTTTTGATCTAAAGAAGGTAACTTTTACAATTGGAGAGTTTCCATAATAAAGAAAGACATTTCCTAATTGAAAAAAATTAACTTCTTTGAATCAAAAAATGTTTAGAGTATGAAAGTCATATTTGATGACAAAGACTTATTTTCAGCACATGAATATAAATAAATTTTTATTTTCATATATCATATAGGCAAAAAATCAAATTAATTTGGTTATAATTTCAAAGAATATGAATCGAATTCTGCCAGACTGACTTAAAAGTCAAATACATTTTGCCATAATTAATATTGTAAATGTAGTATGATTCCTTCAACTAGTCAGAAGTTATAGGTTCAATCTCATTCTAAATTAATCTTTTATTCTAGATTAATTGAATTAATTCTAATTTCTAAAATATTAAAATTTTAAAAATACAAGATGTAAAATACTATTTATCAGATTATATTATAGGTTAAAAATAACTTAAAGAATCTAAAAGTCATTAAAGAGATTGTAAACAAGAGCATATTAAGCCTAAGACATTTCATAATAGAATAAAATTTAGAAATTAATGTTCATAAATTTTTGCCACTAAAAACATTTTAAAATTAAATTTGTATAACTGTCTATAGCTGACAAATGGACAATATTTACAATACAAAAACATTTCTGTAGATAAGATACTGATCTCAAGTTTAATCTCTCTGAATTTTTTTTATAAAATAAAATTTTATATGGATCCAATAAAAAGCAATATAAAAATTTATATTCAATAAATTTTTTTCTAATAGGTTGGTCAAATAAATTTTATCATCATTATTAATTTAAATTTAAGTAAACTTTCATAAACTGCATATAGAAAATTGAAACTTCCTTCAAATGCACTGTCACTATGATTAAAAATTGAAATTACAGTAATTTTATTTCATACTCTTTCATCACCTTAATATGTACTGTACCAATACAGAGCTGTAAGGATTTACAGTGATTTTTATTAATATGATAATTCTAATAGAAAGTAATGGCAATCTCTTTCTGTATTCTTGATTTCTAATAGAATAATCATAATAATATAAATCAATATTAACTTTTATTTATCAACAACATATGTATTAAAAGTTGACACATTAATCTAAAAAATGTACAGAAATAAGTATATTAAAGTATTATAATATATGTTGTTTATTGGAAACAGAAAAATATTGGGCACCTTACATATAAATCAACACCTAATGTCTTACAATGACCTAAAATAAAGTATTTTATTTTAAACTTTTTCATTAGCAAAATTCTCATCAGCAACAGTAATTTTAAGGAATATCTACATAGATTCAGACTGACAGACAATAACATCTACTACTGTAATAATGTAGACATCAGTCTACTGACCACTTTATTTTTGAATGTACTTTATTCAATAACCAAAGGAATACTCTCATAAATAACACCACAAAAGGTTTTAATTAGCTTCTCGTTGTTACTAAAGATCTAATTTCAACAAAGAACACATTTAATGCTTTAAAAACATTTATTAACACCAACAAAGTCCTAAAATCACAATACTATCATGGTTGAAGTATTGTTACCTTACTCAGTTTTTGAGTTAACAGCTTATTTTTTTAATTCAAATATTGTATTTTATTTTATATTTTGATACTGTTTCAGTTTTCTTTGCAAAATGGTGGATGTTACCATCCCTTGTGTATAAGTTTTTATTTTGTTACAGAAAACAAATGGCTTTGTTTTCTATCCTCCATATGTCTGTAAATACTATCAAAGAATTGTATCACATTTCATGTTTCTTCTTATATTTTCAACAAGTTTCTTAGTTAATTTTTATTCAATTATTGTATTTCATCTGTAAAAGTTTGTCTGATGGAGAATTATTTCTAATAAAATGATATAGATGGAAGTAAGCAAGACAACTGCGACAAGCAGCCTAAAAAGAAAGGTCAGTCGCTGAAAATGCGTTAGTCTTGGAACACAAAAAATAATAAATGGTGATCCTTTTTGGACAGTTTTGTCTTCTATTTTATTATATTTCGATTTAAACTTAAATTATTGTAAGTTCTGTATTTATTTGTTACTGTTTCCACAAATATGAAGGAAATAGGCTTATTTCATTGTAAATGCAAGATATTATCATCCCTTGTAAACAATTAATTTTTATGATTCACCCTATCTGTCCAGTACCCTACTGAGATCTTTTCTCATCTTTCTCATCCCTTCTTTTTTCCTTCCTTCAGTCTAGACCTTACAGTATGCTCTACCCTAACAATAACAATAAACATCCATATTATATACTACATACTACATTATTTACTATACTACATACTACATTATTTACAGTATATGATTATATATATTAAAAATAATTATTTAAATGTTAATTACTGATTTTAATATAATTTCGTATATTTCTTAATGATTGTAAATGGAAAATCATTTAAATAATATTTATTAAAACATGAATTATAGGACAATTTCAAATTATTGGTTACTTTTCAGAGGGTGATTACTATGAGGTAGATATTCTGGATTAACAAAATTCTGCTATATTTAAAATAATGTGGCAAAAATATAAAAAAAATTAAAATATAGACAGGTGGTGCTTAAGTTAATCATCCAACAGATGTCTTGGAGTGTATGAGATATCAAGAATCAAACTTTGATATTTCATATAAACTAAAATATTTGACATTCTTGAGATTTCAGATTTTTTCTGGTAATATATTTGACATTCACTTTCAAATACATTAATTCATTTTTCTGTAAGAAATCTGTTTTTACTCAAACATTTCATGTAATAAAAGCAACATTTTCACTAATATGCAAGTGTAATTGTTCTAGCTGTCTGCCCATGGATTATATGAAAAGTTTTTAAAATTTTTCATCAACAAGAAAGCGTTCTGCTTTTGGTTTAGTTTTTAAAAAATGTTACTAATCATGTATTTGAGTCAATCAGTTAGCAAGTCCAATTATATGAACAAATAACAAGTTTTGGCTTATCTTATACTACTATCTACTTTCTAAGGATGGAAAAAATAAAGTTTCTCAATTAAAGGATAATCAGCTTATATATAAAAAGATTTGAAGATTAAAAGTGTTAATAAATAACAAATAGATAAGAAAATTTAGTGTATGTGATGGTATGTATCATACACACAATGCAAAACAGTTTACTGTATTTTATTGTTTTTGTAATTAAATGAGAAATAATTTAAACCTATAAAATCAGATAATAAAAATTAATTTCATAGACCAAACTATATTTTGCATAGAAGCAAAATGTTCCAAAATTAATTTCATGGAATTAATTTACCTTCTTACTCATTTTCTTATAAAAATTAATATTAAAGTTTAAAAATATAATTTTATAAAATGAAAGTTAAACTGAGATGTTATGTTATTATTACATGTTGGTGTGTGTCCACAATAAATTTAAATAATATAATCTTGTTTGTCTCTACATTGATGTTTATGTCTAGTGAATGATTATAACACACTTACATTTAAATGTATTAGGTGATCAACCAATATGATTCAGCAAATACATTAAATCAATGTCTTTATTTACATAAACAATGAGAGTGTAAATACAAAAGCACAATAATTTTAAATTATAACATCATTATTTAAAGTAATTATATGTATGGATTAATAAAGACATATTAAATGTTAAGAGTTTTTGTATTAATAATCCACGAAAACCTTTCTGTACAAGTGTTATGTTCTTAACTACTCCACAAACGCTTTTGACCTCCACCGAGGTCGAAAGCATTTGTGGAGTAGTTAAGAACATAACACTTGTACAGAAAGATTTTCATGGATTATTAATACTCAACGAAGTGTTAAGTTGTTGGAAGTCGTTTTGTGTTTTTGTATTGTTTCATTTAATTTATTTTTAAATATTTTATTTTGGTTTTAGTAATGCACTATATACAGTTAATTTATTTACACTTACCTGTACACCTAGTCTCTGATAACAATGTCTAGAAGTTTGTTTAATTAATTGACAGAAAAATTCATTCTGGAGCTCTGGAAATGTGAGGCACTGCTGCAAGGCATTTTGAGCCAGAGCCACATGATAATCTATTCCCGAAGTATCCAATGGCACTGATATAAACAACTGGATGGACTAAAAGTAAAATTAAGAATCAATTTAGATTACATACTGTTTATAAACTATACATTTTTAAGTATTTTTAGCAATTAATATAAATACATTAAATATGTATACTAACCTTAAAAAGTTTTACTGCCTCTGTTTGTAGTTGTTCGGACGGTAAAGTGGTCAGAGGTTGCGATATACTGTCTTTGGAATACAATAATAATGGATGTCTCCATATTACACTATCTAAAACATAAAAGTTGATATTATTTATAATTTCAAAGCCAAATGATATTATATATATATTATTACTTAAATTCTAAATTCAATTAATTATAAAATTTATAATATCATTAATATTAACTTATATCTTATTGTAAATAATTAAAATTAAATAATGAATATTAAATATTACATTAATAATTTTTAAAGTTTCATATGTACATACTTTCATCTCCATCAGCTTCCATTAGACGAGCAATCAATTGTTCATATTGTGTACCTGCTAAGTTTTCACCAGATGAGACTACAGTCAAATGATATAACCAGACATCCTAGAAAATATTAAAATATAAAAAAAATCTATTATAATTATTGAAAAGAAAGATCAATAAAACTGTTAATTTATCAAATAACATTTAGGAATAAATGACTTAATGATTTTTAAATTTGACATTAGATAATGATTTAAATATTGATTAACCAATCAATATTTAAATCATTATTGCACATCAAATTATTTTTTAAAATATGTTATAAACAATTTTTTATACTAATGGAAAAATATTGATAAAGTAAACACATCAACATAATCTTTTTTACTTTAGATGACATTGTAAAATGATTAATAATATGAAGAAAATAATTTATGAATTATAAGATCAATACGATCATGGTAATTTAATGACTTATTTCAGACACTATCTGATTTTAAAATTTTGGATTATAAAATGAAATACATCATTTTTAAATTACAACTATGATACATCAAATTGATATTAAAACTATTATAAAAGTTTTAATATCAATTTGATGTATCATAGTTGTAATTTAAAAATGATGTATTTCATTTTATAATCCAAAATTTTAAAATCAGATAGTGTCTGAAATAAGTCATTAAATTACCATGATCGTATTGATCTTATAATTCATAAATTATTTTCTTCATATTATTAATCATTTTACAATGTCATCTAAAGTAAAAAAGATTATGTTGATGTGTTTACTTTATCAATATTTTTCCATTAGTATAAAAAATTGTTTATAACATATTTTAAAAAATAATTTGATGTGCAATAATGATTTAAATATTGATTGGTTAATCAATATTTAAATCATTATCTAATGTCAAATTTAAAAATCATTAAGTCATTTATTCCTAAATGTTATTTGATAAATTAACAGTTTTATTGATCTTTCTTTTCAATAATTATAATAGATTTTTTTTATATTTTAATATTTTCTAGGATGTCTGGTTATATCATTTGACTGTAGTCTCATCTGGTGAAAACTTAGCGGGTACACAATATGAACAATTGATTGCTCGTCTAATGGAAGCTGATGGAGATGAAAGTATGTACATATGAAACTTTAAAAATTATTAATGTAATATTTAATATTCATTATTTAATTTTAATTATTTACAATAAGATATAAGTTAATATTAATGATATTATAAATTTTATAATTAATTGAATTTAGAATTTAAGTAATAATATATATATAATATCATTTGGCTTTGAAATTATAAATAATATCAACTTTTATGTTTTAGATAGTGTAATATGGAGACATCCATTATTATTGTATTCCAAAGACAGTATATCGCAACCTCTGACCACTTTACCGTCCGAACAACTACAAACAGAGGCAGTAAAACTTTTTAAGGTTAGTATACATATTTAATGTATTTATATTAATTGCTAAAAATACTTAAAAATGTATAGTTTATAAACAGTATGTAATCTAAATTGATTCTTAATTTTACTTTTAGTCCATCCAGTTGTTTATATCAGTGCCATTGGATACTTCGGGAATAGATTATCATGTGGCTCTGGCTCAAAATGCCTTGCAGCAGTGCCTCACATTTCCAGAGCTCCAGAATGAATTTTTCTGTCAATTAATTAAACAAACTTCTAGACATTGTTATCAGAGACTAGGTGTACAGGTAAGTGTAAATAAATTAACTGTATATAGTGCATTACTAAAACCAAAATAAAATATTTAAAAATAAATTAAATGAAACAATACAAAAACACAAAACGACTTCCAACAACTTAACACTTCGTTGAGTATTAATAATCCATGAAAATCTTTCTGTACAAGTGTTATGTTCTTAACTACTCCACAAATGCTTTCGACCTCGGTGGAGGTCAAAAGCGTTTGTGGAGTAGTTAAGAACATAACACTTGTACAGAAAGATTTTCATGGATTATTAATACTCAACGAAGTGTTAAGTTGTTGGAAGTCGTTTTGTGTTTTTGTATTGTTTCATTTAATTTATTTTTAAATATTTTATTTTGGTTTTAGTAATGCACTATATACAGTTAATTTATTTACACTTACCTGTACACCTAGTCTCTGATAACAATGTCTAGAAGTTTGTTTAATTAATTGACAGAAAAATTCATTCTGGAGCTCTGGAAATGTGAGGCACTGCTGCAAGGCATTTTGAGCCAGAGCCACATGATAATCTATTCCCGAAGTATCCAATGGCACTGATATAAACAACTGGATGGACTAAAAGTAAAATTAAGAATCAATTTAGATTACATACTGTTTATAAACTATACATTTTTAAGTATTTTTAGCAATTAATATAAATACATTAAATATGTATACTAACCTTAAAAAGTTTTACTGCCTCTGTTTGTAGTTGTTCGGACGGTAAAGTGGTCAGAGGTTGCGATATACTGTCTTTGGAATACAATAATAATGGATGTCTCCATATTACACTATCTAAAACATAAAAGTTGATATTATTTATAATTTCAAAGCCAAATGATATTATATATATATTATTACTTAAATTCTAAATTCAATTAATTATAAAATTTATAATATCATTAATATTAACTTATATCTTATTGTAAATAATTAAAATTAAATAATGAATATTAAATATTACATTAATAATTTTTAAAGTTTCATATGTACATACTTTCATCTCCATCAGCTTCCATTAGACGAGCAATCAATTGTTCATATTGTGTACCTGCTAAGTTTTCACCAGATGAGACTACAGTCAAATGATATAACCAGACATCCTAGAAAATATTAAAATATAAAAAAAATCTATTATAATTATTGAAAAGAAAGATCAATAAAACTGTTAATTTATCAAATAACATTTAGGAATAAATGACTTAATGATTTTTAAATTTGACATTAGATAATGATTTAAATATTGATTAACCAATCAATATTTAAATCATTATTGCACATCAAATTATTTTTTAAAATATGTTATAAACAATTTTTTATACTAATGGAAAAATATTGATAAAGTAAACACATCAACATAATCTTTTTTACTTTAGATGACATTGTAAAATGATTAATAATATGAAGAAAATAATTTATGAATTATAAGATCAATACGATCATGGTAATTTAATGACTTATTTCAGACACTATCTGATTTTAAAATTTTGGATTATAAAATGAAATACATCATTTTTAAATTACAACTATGATACATCAAATTGATATTAAAACTATTATAAAAGTTTTAATATCAATTTGATGTATCATAGTTGTAATTTAAAAATGATGTATTTCATTTTATAATCCAAAATTTTAAAATCAGATAGTGTCTGAAATAAGTCATTAAATTACCATGATCGTATTGATCTTATAATTCATAAATTATTTTCTTCATATTATTAATCATTTTACAATGTCATCTAAAGTAAAAAAGATTATGTTGATGTGTTTACTTTATCAATATTTTTCCATTAGTATAAAAAATTGTTTATAACATATTTTAAAAAATAATTTGATGTGCAATAATGATTTAAATATTGATTGGTTAATCAATATTTAAATCATTATCTAATGTCAAATTTAAAAATCATTAAGTCATTTATTCCTAAATGTTATTTGATAAATTAACAGTTTTATTGATCTTTCTTTTCAATAATTATAATAGATTTTTTTTATATTTTAATATTTTCTAGGATGTCTGGTTATATCATTTGACTGTAGTCTCATCTGGTGAAAACTTAGCGGGTACACAATATGAACAATTGATTGCTCGTCTAATGGAAGCTGATGGAGATGAAAGTATGTACATATGAAACTTTAAAAATTATTAATGTAATATTTAATATTCATTATTTAATTTTAATTATTTACAATAAGATATAAGTTAATATTAATGATATTATAAATTTTATAATTAATTGAATTTAGAATTTAAGTAATAATATATATATAATATCATTTGGCTTTGAAATTATAAATAATATCAACTTTTATGTTTTAGATAGTGTAATATGGAGACATCCATTATTATTGTATTCCAAAGACAGTATATCGCAACCTCTGACCACTTTACCGTCCGAACAACTACAAACAGAGGCAGTAAAACTTTTTAAGGTTAGTATACATATTTAATGTATTTATATTAATTGCTAAAAATACTTAAAAATGTATAGTTTATAAACAGTATGTAATCTAAATTGATTCTTAATTTTACTTTTAGTCCATCCAGTTGTTTATATCAGTGCCATTGGATACTTCGGGAATAGATTATCATGTGGCTCTGGCTCAAAATGCCTTGCAGCAGTGCCTCACATTTCCAGAGCTCCAGAATGAATTTTTCTGTCAATTAATTAAACAAACTTCTAGACATTGTTATCAGAGACTAGGTGTACAGGTAAGTGTAAATAAATTAACTGTATATAGTGCATTACTAAAACCAAAATAAAATATTTAAAAATAAATTAAATGAAACAATACAAAAACACAAAACGACTTCCAACAACTTAACACTNATTCAAATTTTTATAGAATAAAATAAGCAAGCTTATTATTTTATAAAAATTTAGTTTCGTTCTTATTTACTTTAATGTTGTAATTCAAATCATATTCTAACAATTGTTTTTATTTTCTTACATATATCGTTTCTGGTTTTGATTAGAATGATTGGATAGTTTGGATTAGATTGATTTTGCTATCATTATTTACTGCAAATTGCTTATATTAATATAAAAATTCATGGAACTACATAAAATCCTATTAGAAGACAAAAATAATATCTCAATAGCTTAGAGAGTTAGATATGTTATCTAAGAACATAAATTAATAATATCTGGCTTAGGGCTAGTTAGAGCAAGAACATATTTGTTACTTCTTGAGTTCTTTCTTTAGATATATGTGTAATTATCAAGAATTAACTTTGATGTTAATTACATTATTTGAATAAACATCTAAAAATTATTTTAAAAAACTTCTTATGATTTTTTAAAATAAGTGATTTTTCAATTTTCATTCATTCTTATTGGATATTTTCTTTTTGCAGACATATTTAACATGTATAAAGTGTTTATCTCAGAGAAATATAATTGCACTAAACAACAATTACATGTGTACATTATAAGTATAAAGAATAAATAAAAAAACGTAGCTCTAAATTGGTTCATGGTTAAATAGATAAATTTTTAGAATAGAATAAAATGCATTAATTTTACTCAATTGTAAATCTATTACTTAATTCTAAAATATTTAACTTTTTCTTTTGCTCTTGCTTCACCTCAAAACTGTGTTTATATTCTAATTATTAATTGTATTAATTATCTTATTTATATTTGTTAATTCATTTTAATTTGCAGTGATATTTAACAAAAGGAAAAAATGCATTTTGTAAGAATATGGAATGCTGCAAATTGTAAAATATTTTAGTGGAATAAAAGGTGGCAGTTGGAAGTTATATATTAGTGATCATAGTGGAATACTGTTCCAAAATTTATCCATAAAAATTATTTTCTAATTTTTATGTGATTTAAACAAAATAATAAAACAAATTCCTTACTTTATAAAAATATTTCACAAAAACAGTTTAACAGTTTTGAGAATTATTTCTTATTTATAGATTTAAGAATAGAAATATATTCTTTGAATTCATTCAGATTTATTCAAAAAATAACCACCACCTTTTGGTTTGTTTTATTATTTTTGTTTTCATTAAATAAAGCAATCTAATAAAATGTCAAGTAATATGTAATTACTTGATATCTTATCCTTAAAATACAATTATTTTATGTTTATAAATTTAAAATTATAATTATTATTTTGATTCACATACTGTTTCATTAGGAGTTTTGAAGTATAAAAACATACGTCCAATTAACACACACCAATATCTTCTAGAATGACCATGCTTAACCTATCAACAGAAAATAATTGATTTATTGATTAATTATCAAATATAAACAATAATTAAAGGAAGTTTATATTAATCTGCTAAATACAGTCATAAATAAGACATTCCAAACAAACTTGTTCAGGTTTCTGTTTATTATTACTGACTGTATGAATTTGAACTTGGACCATTTAAAGTATACTTTGCCTGGATGTTTAGAACATTATGTTAATCACATATAAACATTTTGTCTACTTATGTTTTCCATATTTAAAAAATAAGTTTATCTGGGATTTTTTTATTAGTGAGAAAAATTATTTTCATTACTAATTAAAATGATTTAATTATTAATTTAATTAATTAAAAAATAAAAAATATAATTAAAACATGCAAAAAATATATATATACTCAAATACATCATTTAATATTTCTTTGAAATTTTTAGACTGCATAAAAAACAACTTTCTCCAAGACAAAGTAATAGTTTGTAAATATTTTTCTACTTCAATAAATATTTAGATAATAAGTATAACCTGATTTTCAAACTGATATTCTTAAACTTCATATTAAAATATCAAATCTCATACAATCAATAATTAGTCAATAAGAACTAACCATTTTATTTGAAATATTGCATATAATAATATTTTAAATAAATTCTTTATAAATTTTTTAGATGATATTTAAAAAGTAAATACATACTTTAATTATATAAAATTAAATTATCATGCAACGAAAATTTTTTTCCTGTGCAATTTTATATCTACAGATGATTTTTAAAAATGGACATTATCAATATTATAATTTGTTGATAAATGCATTCCATACTTATCACCTTAATGTGTTAAAAGGGTTATTTAATGTGTTTATTTATGTTGTGTATTAACGTGTTATATCTTAGAATTTCTTAAAAAGCATACCTACATATAATTAGATGATCATCCTATTGTTAAATATGTATATTCTTTGTTAATCCATTAACTAATTAGAATAATGTTTGCTCCTATAGGGACAGACAGAAATGTGTCTTTGCATCTCTTATTTCCAGAACAAATCCCATCAAAATTCACAATATAATTTACAATTAATTAAATTAAGATTTATGAATTTGAACTACAAGAAATAAAACATCAATATAATAATTTATCTGTAAATCCTAAATATGCTGAAAATTTCTGGATTTTGGAATTGGGCTAATTAAGTTAATTTAATAATTCAAGTATATCTAAATTCTTGAAAGTCTAAAGGAGAAAATTAAATCCCATTTCAACCTGAAATTTTTTCAGATCTATCTAAATTTACCTAAAATTATTTCAAATTTTCTTATTATAGATATCCATATTTATATTATGTTAATTCCATTCTAACCCAAAAAAATTTTAGCTGAATATTTTGCACATTTAAGGAGATTAATATAATACATTATAATACGGTGAATAGTTACAATGGATATTTTACAATTTTCAAAGAATTTCAATTTAATAATTTATGATATATATGGAAAAGCTGTTGTGAAAGTTAACTACAATACAATTAAAAGCAAAATTCTTTTAATCAACAAATAAAACAATTATCTTAAACTACTTTTCAATTATAATTTATTAAAGAATATTGGCATTTAGCATAATTTTTGGGAAACATTAAATATAAACTATAAAATTACTAAAATATAAAAATGTATTGAGTATAATACAAAGAAATGAAGATGCTTATGTTTTAATAAAAAACTACCTTACATTAAGTCATTAACACTATCATAATTTTTATAAGGAAATTTTTCTATATATGTAATGTTTTATATGCAGATAATTAAATTAAATTGTTAATTTATATTTTTCTTTTGTTAAAAAGTTTTTTAATTATCAAATGTTTAAAAAAAGTTATTTTATAATAGAAAGAAATTATGTATTGATTCCTGTTATCCAAAATGATTTTCTATATTAATAATATGCTCACCAAATGTTCTAAAATAATATTTCTGTTCACTCAGACAGTTAGTCAAATTCTGACATACTGAACAAATGAATCAAAATGAGCATCAATTTAACATTGATACATCCAGTTCTGTTAAATGATTTAAATGCAATGTGTTAAAATTAAACTTAGGTTTTTTTCCTAACAAGAATAGTAAATCCAAAATAGTTAAACAAGAAAATATAATAATTTTAGAGTACTTTAGTGCCAGAATTTCACTGCAAACAAAATAATTTTTTAAAGAGAAATTTATATTCACTAAAGATAAATATCTTCAGTCTTCTAGTTTATAACATTATATACAACTAAATGTAAATAAGCTATTTATATTATTATATATATATTCATTTTTTTCACAAAAAATGTAAGAGCCATTTAAAAAAATTATTTTACCTTTGTTAACCAGCCTTCTATTGTTGGCTTATTATCTTCTTTACTAAGAAGAAGACGTGTTGCATTTCTCCTAAGAACATTTTGTAATACTAGAAAAAAATTTTATGTTCAAATTATGTGTAATATTTATCTTCATTTTATAAAACAAAGAAAATAAATAGAATTTTTCTGATTTAACATTGCTTCATATTAAGAAATTTTATCATTATAATTAATTATAAATTAATTTGATCAGAAAATTTTCATTATTTTTTATAATTTATCAGTAAATAAAAGAAATAGTTTTGTTCTTTTTAAATTCACTTTTTATCATGAAGAGATTGTCAGATGTGCTAGAAGGTCATATATCCAATTTTTAACAATTTTAGAGAAAAATCAAAAGAGTTTGAAATCATATAAAAAGTTCAATTTATGATATATTGACCTGATTTTTCAATGGTAACTTCTCTTCATAGGAAGTTTTCATTGAAAATCTTTGTTGTTTCGATAACTTCACTCACTTATCAGTTAGAAGAAAAGTGACATATGACATTATGGCGTGGACATGACAAGATATGCAGTTATATTTCATCAAGCCTATGATAATGACTTTTTAAAGATAATAATCTAAAAGTTTTTAAAAGTTTTATCTATTAATTTAAAAATATACTTTTTATTATTATATTTAAAGATTGAGTTGTAATAAATTTTGAATTTTAAATAGCATTGAAACTATATGTTTTAATGTTATCATAACTTATGTATCCAAAGCATACTGTATTTTATATCATAATAAGTATTTCTATTTCAGCAGAGGATATTTAAGAAAGTATTTAGTGTATTTAAGCTATACTGCACCTTTGTTAGTCAGCCCCAAACTTTTTACTGTATTTTAATTAAAAAAAATAATAGTAATAATAATAAAAAAAATAATAGTAATAATAATAAAAAAATCAATAAAATTATAATGTGACATTGTCACAATGCCAAGCTGCAATTTTTATTCATATTTTTAATTTATTTAATTTAAAATATATGCTCTCAATTTTAATAGTGTTTTGCCCCTATACACCATACTTTTCCTGATCACGCCAATCATCTATGTAATTCCATTAAAAATTTTCTTGTGGAATTTACTGTTTAAAAAAATAATCTGCTGTGGTGCCAAATCTGGCAACACTGTAAACTATCTCGTAACACAGTTTCATAGTTACTTTTTTCCCACATGCACATACAATTATTTTGTTTGTGCACCTTACAATAATTGGTTTAAGGCAGGTTCAAGATAATGACCATAATAGGATTTGGAGATAATGATATTCCATAAAAGACAAAAATATTGACATATCTCACTCATCCCATAAAAATGGCTTTTTGTGGGTGAGTGAGAAATTTTAGTCAAGATAGAAGAGCTAGCGGTTAGGTGGGTGTTCTAGAAGTTAAAAATATTTTTGGATAAAACATGAAAAGGAAAATTACTATTGTAAAAGCATTTACCAAGCTATTTCACTTGACAGAAAACAACAAATGTGCACGTGATAATTCAATTGGAAAGGAGCAAGTTGAAAACGTGGAAGACTATGATTATTCAACAAAGTGAAATTGATTCTTCTAAAAAGATTCAAAGATTAGAACAAGTTATTTGTGATATTAATAGTAAAAATAAAAATAGTGAATCAGCACAAAATTCTAAGTCAAAACTAGGTTTATTTTATGAAACATGAAGGATAGAAAAAACACAGTTTTATAAAATTTAATACAATATATGAACTTTCAGCTGAGTGTTCAGATGCAATTTCATCTTACGAGAAAGGGTGTGTGATAGCAAAACCATTATAGAAGCATTTAGTATGTTTAAAAAAAATGACTGATTTTACAATGATCATTTGTTTCCAAACAGTTCTGTAATTTTTCAGTTATGTTAAACGTTTTTCTACAAAGCTACAAGGATCAACTTTAGATATTGTACAAGCATTTGAAATGGTGTCTCGTGTGAAATCAGTGTTAGAACAGTCTAGAGAAGATATTCAGAATTTGATGTTATATACAGCAAGAGTGCAATAGAGCGTCATTTATCTGAAAGCTGGTTAACCGACATTTCGGATAAACAGCATTCCAGTCGGCAAATTTAAATTTTTGCTAGTGCTGTGGCGCTGCAATCTTTGGCTATATGTTGGGCTACTCCAATATTTTTTCTTGTTGGTGTGTGTTTTAGCTGGCAGCACTGGCACTTTTGTGTGGTGTTTTTCTGAAGACTGTTTGTCGTGCTGAATCAAACATTTTTGATACTAGATTAACTTCTAAAGTATAATTTTTTTGTTTTTATATTTTTCAATATATTTATTTTGTTTGTAAAAAATAAATAAATCATTTTTAACGATACAATAGCCACGANTTTATTAATATGTTTATATTTCTAAGATTTTTATTTTAATTTATAAACATAAAAATAAAATATTTAAATAATCTTATGAATTAATCTAGCAAAACAAGTAAACTAGATAAAACAAAATAAAAAGTTTATGATTTAGCATATAAATTTAGTGTATAAACATTTCCAATATATATATATACATATAGGTGGTTTGGCCATTTGGAAAGAATGGGAGAAGACTGACTGGCCGAACAGGTATTCAAAGCTAAAATCAAAGAGAAAAAACAAAAGGGACAACCTAGACAAAGGTGAATTGATAATGTTAAGCAGGCTTTAGATGAAAGGAATATAACTTTAATCTAAGCTAAAAACTTGTCTGTTGATAGGAGAGTTTGGAAAAAAAGTAGTGGATGGTAGTATAAAAGTTTGATTTTTTCACCATGTTGACCTGTACACCTCTCTGGGTATCAGCAGGAATGGATAATGATGATGATGATACATACACAGACATACACATACACACAATTATTTTTAATATTGGAAAATTTTGAAAATGACAGCGAAAATATTTAAGAATTTTTAATTGATTGTATTTATTAAATAATTAAACAGTATCAAAATATTATATATGCTTGTAAAATATGTATCTAATTTGCTAATTGACTCCTTACAAATCTCTCATTATGCCTTAAGGGATCAATACCAATCCCATTGAATAGTCCTAATCTAACTTCTAAGTTAATAATAAAATGTTTGTTCTACAATGTAGCTTTTGAGTTTAAACTTTTTTGTGATAGAGCCTGAAGATTGCTGTTTAAAATGACTGAAAATGTTTGTTTGTTGACAAGACTATGTCTTGTTTATAAAATCGTGGTGCCATCAACAGCTTATCACTTTAGAGGTATGAAGGAGTACATGTCAGGAGTTGCAATTTGGCACAGAGTATTAGGTGCCCAAATCATGCCCACACACAAAAAACCCAGACTTGTAGGTACTCAGGGAACCAAGAACCAAGTCAAAATAAAATACAAAATGGCGACAGTCTTTCTACAAACAGGCACTAGTAGAAGTTTCACGCATGTGTTGCTCATTGGAAAGTTGGAAATGCGAATGTTGCGAAATCGAATTTTGACAATCCCATTTATCTGTCCCGTGTTATTCCAGACATATCTCTGGTCATGACCTGCTGACCTTGACTGGTTGACCCAAGATATCTTGTTTCATCATCAGAACATTTTTGAAACTAGATGGCGCTAGTCATTATAATTTTATATTAAAACTAACTTCCGAAATATAATTTTTTTTTGTTTTTATATTTTTCAATATATTTATTTTGTTTGTAAAAAATAAATAAATCATTTTTAACGATACAATAGCCACGATTATTATTTTAAAAAGTTTACGTTAGGCTTAACATCGATGAAAATTCAACGGAGAAAAATTTCAACATGGCATAGGTTAATATATTTTTTCGTACATAATCGGTTATCCGAAAAATAAGTTATCCGAACAATCCCAGTTCCCAATTGATTCAGATAAGCGACACTCTACTGTATATAAGATCAGAGTAAATTAGATTCTCTAATTTAATCTGAGGTTTGAGAAAATGGCTAATAATGTGATTACGATATTCTATTGATTCCATTAAATATGAGCTGTGAATTAATTGAAAAACTAGAAAATGAAATTTTAAATTATTTTGTAGATGATTTGCCATGAATTAAACATGAATTTAAACATGAATTAAAACTATGGAAAAGAGTTTGGTGTGAGATGGATGATAAGTCTGATAGTATAAGATTGACATTATCTAATAGCAGAAGTTGTTCTAAATGTTCCCAAATATTACTAAAGTTTTAAATCTTTTATTAATACCAGTAATTTCATCTGGTGTTAAAAGAGCAAATTTGTTATTGAGACATGTACTGTGCATGATGATTTACAAAGCTGTACAAGTGAACAGAGATTTAACATACTTATTTTGTTAATGACACATAAAGACATTGATGTAAACTTAGATGAAATGACAGATCTATATGCAAGAAAACATCTAAGATGAATGTTACTTTTAAATCCATTGAAAATAAAAATATTTCTTTCTGATTAATGAAAACCATCTATTTATATACATCACAGTCTTGATACTAAAAATAATTGATTTTGGATATTGATATTCACATGAAGCACATCCCCTAATGAAATTCCTGAATCTGACCCTAAAGAGGAAAACTTTAGAAAATGTTTTAAAATAAAAACTCTTACTTCTATTAAAAAAAGAATTATAATCACTTTGTAGATTTTAAATTTTTACTTACACTTCAAATTTCTACAACAAATAATTTACATCTTACATTTATCAAAAAATAAATAAATAAATAAACTTTAAAACCTACCTTTAACCCATTCTTCCATTGTATTTATTGAATCAGCAGTTAAATAATATGTGCGTTTTCCAGTAGATATCTAAAAATATGTATAAACTTGTTATGAAAAGAATATAATAAAATTAAAGAATATTGTATAACATAANTATTTAATGCAAATTGCTTATATTAATATAAAAATTCATGGAACTACATAAAATCCTATTAGAAGACAAAAATAATATCTCAATAGCTTAGAGAGTTAGATATGTTATCTAAGAACATAAATTAATAATATCTGGCTTAGGGCTAGTTAGAGCAAGAACATATTTGTTACTTCTTGAGTTCTTTCTTTAGATATATGTGTAATTAT